CGTCCTGGAGAGGTGGCCTCGTCGTCCTGGAGAGGTGGCCTCGTCGTCCTGGAGAGGTGGCCTCGAGTCGTTCTGGAGAGGTGGCCTCGAGTCGTTCTGGAGAGGTGGCCTCGAGTCGTCCTGGAGAGGGTAGAGCCCTTCTCAGATCACATGACTTTGTGACGATCGACAATGGACAACAATGGACAATCCTAGACAGGGTTGTTGTGCCACATTCCGATGACCATCCTATAAGCATAGGCCCGTTCATCCAGAACGGAATTGCTTGGCCACATCGGGCACGTGTCGTCAGTGATTTCTTATGAGTTAGTTTCCTTTTACGCCGCACTCAGTAATATTCCAGCTATATGGCGGCGGTCTGTAAATAATCAAGTCTGGACCATACAATCCAGTGATCAACAGTATGAACGTCGATCTACGCAAATGGGATACGATGACATGTGTCAACCAAGTCACCCGATCCCGTTACTCTCCTATTACGACAAGCATGGGTTACTGAAGATCAATTCTAACCCGGACCTTCACGGGTATGATTTCTTGTCAAGGGACTGTAACTAAATTGGCCAGCCAGGATTCCAGATCTAGCATTAAGCATTGTGGGACATTTTAGAATGGGCCAGAGGGACCCTCCAGCACAAAATCTTGATGTAATGGAACAAGTTTTCCATCAAGTATGGAACGCAGTACCTGAACGTCAAATTCACCGTCTGAGACTTAATGAGGAGGGGTGGGGGATGGGGTGGTGGGGGTGTCAGTGATGTTATGTACAGTTGGCGCAGGTTACACTAGATATAGATACTGTGTTCGGTTATTTACACTTTTGTGACTTTGGGGGATTGCATGCCAGAATCTTGAAAATAACAGCACTTGGTACATGTAACGTCATACGACCATAGTTATCAGCACTACAAATTAGTCAATTTTTAAAATGTTTGCGTATATAATTACACTACTGTTTTTGTTTGTTATTGCATGTAGATTTGACAGTTAGTTATTCTTTGAAGGTAAATTGATCCAGGTAGTAAGTGAAATATAGGTTTGGATACGTTTCTTTGCTGTGGTTAATGGTAACATATTAATACTATAAAAATATCGTGTTGCGATACTTTTCCCTTGAATACCCGTTAAGGATGTTTGTGGTTTAGCATTTACCATCTATTGCTGGCCGTCAGATTTATCAGGAGACAGTGGGTTTTTATTTGTCACGTCAGCCCCCAAACATTTTCTCGGTGGATTAATGTCAAGCAATATTCAAGCTACAGTCAACAAACTTGATTTAACTAATTGGTTTGGTTTTTTTTTTGTCCTGGCCACTTTGGTAGAAATGCGCATAATGAAGTATGGTTATAGTGAGTGAGTTTAGTTTTATGCCGCTTTTAGCAATATTCCAGCAATATCATGGAAGGGGACAACACTAATGGGCGTCGAACATTGTTCCCATGTGGAGAATCGAACCTGGGTCTTGGGTCTATTGCGCAGATCTATGCTCAATCTGTCGATCACTGGACTGTCTGGTCCAGACTCGACTATTTACAGTCCGCCACCATATAGTTGGAATATTGAGTGTGGCGTTAAACAACGAACAAGACAAAACCGCATGATCCTTCAGGAATCTCCAACAACCAGATTGTGTGGAAGCGCTTCCAAATCAGAACCACCACCACAATGACTCTGGAGTGAATGAGAGAGTTCAGTTTTAAACTGTAAATAATCAAGTCTGGACCAGACAATCCAGTTATCAACAGCATGAGCATCGATCTACGTAATGGGGATACGATGACATGTGTCAACCAAGTCAGCGAACCTGACCACCCGATCCCATTAGCATGGAGATCAATTCTAACCTGGAACTTCAGGGTCCGTTGACTCTGGAACACCATCCTTAACAGTGTCAGCTGCCAGTCGTCTGTGTGGTTACCAACATCAAGATGTGATGAGGCGGGTGAGGTGAAATTGGGTTTTGCGTCGTGCTTGAGAATATTTCGCTCATATGACGACGTGCATGCGTGTGTATGTGTATGTGCGGCTGCTTGTACTAGCCCAGACTTAAGCTGGTTTATAGTGCTAGGCCACTGAGATACCATGCCGAAGTGAAGCATGAATATCCCACTCAGACACATTATACTGACTCCGTGCCGACCAGTCCTTGTTGTACCCATTAATGCCGAGCGCCAGGCAGGGACCAATAAGTACCATATTTAACGTCTTTTGGTATGACGCGGTCGGGGATCGAACCCGCGACCTTCCGCTCTCCGGGCAGACGCTCTAACCACTACACCACGGAGGCGGTCCCAAGATGTGATGAAGATGTGAATCAATAATATCACACCAGCAATTCTTTGACACATATTTAATTGCCAAATAAAACAAACATACAACATAAAACTAAAGATGTAATCATCTCCTAAAGTCACGAGCTTTGTGGTCAACCTTCATCTGACCATTCATTCCTGACCACTAGCACTGGTCTCAGATACTCATCAGTATAACCGTCTGTTCTGTTAATGTAAGTATCTGGAGCCTTGAGGGCAAACAAAGATGTCAAGGTCCTGTTTACAAAGAGACAACAGAGCTATCACAAACATGAACAATAGGAGACCAATCAAATGCATATTACACAAAGCCAGTGACAAATTTTTTTTTTTAGCCATTCCTTGTTCGAGCTGCCATCAAGTGAGTGAATGAGTGAATTTAGTTTTACGCCGCACTCAGCAATATTCCAGCTATATCGTGGCGGTCTGTATATAAAAGAATCTGGACCAGACAATCCAGTGATCAACAGCATGAGCATCGATCTGTGCAATTGGGAACCGATGACACGTGTCAACCAAGTTGCCATCCAGAGTGGTTGAGTGAATTGTAGAGTATATGTATGTGCGTGCGAGCGTGCATGTGCGTGCGTTGATGTGTGTGTTGGTGGCTTTGTGAGTGGGTAGGAGAGTGAGATGGTGGGTCAGGTCTGTGAGGTGAGGTGATTGAGTTGGTGAGGTGGCTGGCCTGTGAGGAGAGTGAGTGAGTTGTATAGTATGTGGGTGGATGTGTGAGTGGGTAGGAGAGTGAGTGAATTGGTGGGTGGGCTGGCCTGTTAGGAGAGTGAGTAAGTAAGTGAGTGAGTGAGTGAGTGAGAGAGTGAGAGTTGTAGAGTACATGGGTGTGTGTGTGGGGGTGAGCAGGTGAAGTGAGTGAGTGAGTGAGTGGTAGAGTACGTGGGTGGGTGTAAAGGTGTGAGTATGTGGGTGTGTGTGTCAGTGGGCATGTGGGCGTGTCGACTGGCCTGTGAGAGAGTGAGTGGTGGGTGGGTGGGCAGGGGCTGGTGAGAGTGAGTGTTGGTGGGTGGGCAGGGGCTGGTGTTGGTGGGGGGGCTGGTGAAGTGAGTGTTGGTGGGTGGGCAGGGGGCTGATGAGAGAGTGAGTGTTGGTGGGTGGGCAGGGGGCTGGTGAGAGAGTGAGTGTTGGTGGGTGGCTAAGTATACAGGTGAGGATACAGATGACTATCTCAGTTATTTATATGTGACAATGCCTTGAAAAACGTGTCACACATGTATAAGGTGTGAGCTTGAAGTGGGTGGAAAGTCCAAAGTGAACGAAGTCGCCAGTCAGAGGAAAACCATAACCCCACCCCAGTCTTAGAAACCAAAATACAAAATCAGATTAAACCTGGATTCAACCAATGACTGCACATTCCTGCACACCAAGGGAGGCAACTCAAGCAAATTTCGGCACCATACACAACTAGGCTACAAGTGCCCCTCCCACACTAAATAAGTCTGTCGTAGAACAAGGACAATACAAGCTATGATTATTATGGAATGATACATCACTAAAGGAATGAAATATGTGTAATGCTGATGAAAATTCCTGCACATTGCATACCCTGCACATTTGATAATCACACATGACTTGACTAACAATATAAACTTTGGCACACCATACACTTAATCCACAAAAACAAAAACAAATGACCTCTCAGTGATGCGAACTAAAATATCACATTAAGACATCAGTGTTTTACTGGTGAACAAAATGACATACATCAAACTGCCATACTCTTTACTTCATGCTCAGTTGTGACAACATACATATCCCCTTCTATATTGACCTGTTGTCTTCAAAACTTCATGCAGAATTATGACTAATAGTGAATCTTCTTTAGAAATAACAAAAATATTCATATGATTGGCAAAAAAAACCATATTTCTAAACCATATTTTTATTTATTGTAACTGGCAGGGCAAAATAAGTGTAATTATTTTACACCCATAAACATTTAATATAAAACACCCAAAGGATTGTGTAACCCCAAATACCTGGGACAAAAAACTGAAAATAATAAATTGTCCTTTAAAATGCTCAAAAAACAGGTATGTTTCAGTCTGCTGAAAACATGTGTCAGCTACAAATGTTACTCTGGTGCAAGTTGTTTTCTTTTCAAAATTTTACGCTCATGGTTTTATTTTTTTAAATAACATGTCGGTAACTAAACACATCTAATCTGTAAAATGACAGGTTCCCTAAAATACCAAATGGTCGGTCATTGAGCCCCATTTCAAGATAAGGATCACTATTATTATTGCATGATCATTTTGGACTGACAGTAGGAATATAATGAGGAATGGTTAAAGTAAATGATCACTACAAAATATGTTGCTGTCCAAGAAATGTCAATGGACTAAAATGCAAATTTGTTCCACAAAAAGGTCTTAGTTCTAAGACCATCATATGTATATGTCAAAGAAAGGAAGATCTGACAGCATTAACAAGAACATCACAATGAGAAACTGGCTCTGTTAAAAGCATACCAGCTCAACTTGCAATACCGCACAAAAATTGGTCTGTTCAACCAGATGCTTGAAAGTCTAGCTAATGAACTGCAGAATTTCTGTCCGATCATTTCAAAGTGAGCAACATAAATTGTTACTGATATGTCGTACAATGTAGAGTTAGGGAGGGACAATTTAGTATTTCTGGGGGATTATCGTCACAGGGTGGTCTTTTCTTTATTGCTTGAAGTAACACAATTTGCTTTTATCTTTGAAATGGGAACAAATGACAACACAACATACATTTGCCCTCCAATTATTTTAGGTAAAATATAAGGAGAACTATTTGTTTAATTGCATAACAAAATTTGCCCCCGAATCTCCCTCCCTCCAGCATTTCGGAGGTTAAGGATTCCTATGGTTTTTTTAACATCTTCACAATTCGCATCCTCGATCCCAGTATCCTGACCCTCCCTCCTCCGGTCTGTGGTCGGAACACCTCGTCCTCCCATCAAGGGTCTGAGATCAGAACACGTCCTGTCACATAGCACGGGCTGAGGTCAGAACATGTCCTGTCTCATTGCACGGGCTGAGGTGGCAACACTGAGAGGTCTCTCCTGATATCTGGTAGTCAAACAGCTGCCTGCTGAGTTACTGCTCCTGGTTGAGTGTCATGGCCTGCATCTGTTGCTGTATCATACCTGCAACATAGTGACAGCAACATTTAAGAACAGCAACAAAAACACAGAGGGAGAAACATTTAAGTGCAGCAACAGCAACACAGAGGGAGCAACATTTAAGGGCAGCAAAAGAAACACAGAGGGAGCAACATTTAAGAACAGCAAAAGCAACACAGAGGGAGCAACATTTAAGTGCAGCAACTGCAACACAGAGGGAGCACCATTTAAGTGCAGCAACAGTAACAGTAACAGAGTGAGCAGCATTTAAGTGCTGCAACAGTAACACAGAGGGAGCAACTTTTAGGTGCAGCAACAGCAACAGAGGGAGCAACATTTAAGTGCAGCAACAGTAACAGGGATTAACATTTAAGTGCAGCAACAGCAACAGAGGGAGCAACATTTAAGTGCAGCAATAGTAACACAGAGGGAGCAACATATAGGTGCAGCAACAGCAACAGAGGGAGCAACATTTAAGTGCAGCAACAGTAACAGAGGGAGTAACATTTAAGTGCAGCAACAGTAACAGGGATTAACATTCAAGTGCAGCAACAGCAGGAGCAACATTTAAGTGCAGCAACAGTAACAGAGGGAGTACCATTTAAGTGCAGCAACAGTAACAGGGATTAACATTTAAGTGCAGCAACAGCAACAAAGGAAGCAACATTTAAGTGCAGCAACAGTAACACAGAGGGAGCAACATATAGGTGCAGCAACAGCAACAGAGGGAGCAACATTTAAGTGCAGCAACAGTAACAGAGGGAGCAACATTGAAGTGCAGCAACAGCAACAGAGGGAGTAACATGTAAGTGCAGTAACAGTAACAGGGGAGCAACATTTAAGTGCAGCAACAGCAACACAGAGGGAGCAACATTTAATAGAAACAACAGCAACAGTAACAGAGGGAGCAACATTTAAGTGCAGCAAGAGGAACACAGAGGGAGCAACATTTAAGAGCAACAACAGCAACAGTAAGACAGATGGAGCAACACTAAGGTGCAATAGCAGCAGCAACAAGCAAAGAGAGCAACAAACATGGAAGACAGCATGTCGTAACAGCTGTACACAGCAATAGCAACATATAGTAACACCAAACTGGAGCAATATCAATAGTAACAGCAACAAACAGTGAGAGCAACAAACATCGAGGACAGCATATTGTAACAGCAGCAAACAGTGAGAGCAACAAACATCGAGGACAGCATATTGTAACAGCAGCAAACAGTGAGAGCAACAAACATCGAGGACAGCATATTGTAACAGCAGCAAACAGTGAGAGCAACAAACATCGAGGACAGCATATTGTAACAGCAGCAAACAGTGAGAGCAACAAACATCGAGGACAGCATATTGTAACAGCAGCAAACAGTGAGAGCAACAAACATCGAGGACAGCATATTGTAACAGCAGCAAACAGTGAGAGCAACAAACATCGAGGACAGCATATTGTAACAGCAGCAAACAGTGAGAGCAACAAACATCGAGGACAGCATATTGTAACAGCAGCAAACAGTGAGAGCAACAAACATCGAGGACAGCATATTGTAACAGCAGCAAACAGTGAGAGCAACAAACATCGAGGACAGCATATTGTAACAGCAGCAAACAGTGAGAGCAACAAACATCGAGGACAGCATATTGTAACAGCAGCAACAGTGAGAGCAACAAACATCGAGGACAGCATATTGTAACAGCAGCAAACAGTGAGAGCAACAAACATCGAGGACAGCATATTGTAACAGCAGCAAACAGTGAGAGCAACAAACATCGAGGACAGCATATTGTAACAGCAGCAAACAGTGAGAGCAACAAACATCGAGGACAGCATATTGTAACAGCAGCAAACAGTGAGAGCAACAAACATCGAGGACAGCATATTGTAACAGCAGCAAACAGTGAGAGCAACAAACATCGAGGACAGCATATTGTAACAGCAGCAAACAGCAATACAGAAGTACAAGCATAAACACAGTACCAGCAGCATAGACACAGTACCAGCAGCATAGACACAGTACCAGCAGCATAAACACAGTACCAGCAGCATAAACACAGTACCAGCAGCATAGACACAGTACCAGCAGCATAAACACAGTACCAGCAGCATAGACACAGTACCAGCAGCATAGACACAGTACCAGCAGCATAAACACAGTACCAGCAGCATAGACACAGTACCAGCAGCATAGACACAGTACCAGCAGCATAAACACAGTACCAGCAGCATAGACACAGTACCAGCAGCATAGACACAGTACCAGCAGCATAGACACAGTACCAGCAGCATAGACACAGTACCAGCAGCATAGACACAGTACCAGCAGCATAGACACAGTACCAGCAGCATAGACACAGTACCAGCAGCATAGACACAGTACCAGCAGCATAAACACAGTACCAGCAGCATAGACACAGTACCAGCAGCATAGACACAGTACCAGCAGCATAAACACAGTACCAGCAGCATAGACACAGTACCAGCAGCATAGACACAGTACCAGCAGCATAAAGTTACAGCAATGGTACTAACATTAACATAGTGACATGCAATATAATTGAGTGAGTGAGTTAAGCTATACGCCACACTCAGCAATATTCCTCCTATATGGCGACGGTCTGTAAATAATCATTCTGAGTTAGAGCATCTGTTATCATCAGTTTCATAAAAGGATCAGCTTCATCGCTGCAGTGGTTTCTGAGAGAATGCTTATGATGCTCGATTAATGACAGACAGATCGCTGAATTGACAGGACTCTACATAACCTCGCTTGACAATGAGTGAAATCAGTTTCATGCTAAAAGCAATATTCCTGCAATGTCACGGTGTGGGCACATTAGAAACGGGCTTCATGAATTGTACCCGAGAGGGGAATCGAAACCGGGTCTTCGGCGTGACGTTCAAACTCTTTAACCACTAGGCTGCCCTACCAGTCACTTAATCAGTCTAATGAGCAAAAAGTACTCAGATCAATCCTAACATATGTGGGATGTAGTTTACAGTTACATCTCTGTGTCTACCACCTGATTGTTTGTCTTACCTGGCGGAGTATTGGCTCCATCAACTGGGGGAGCATAGCCTCTGCCAACCGGAGCATAGCCTCTGCCGACTGGGGGAGCATAGCCTCTGCCAACCGGGGCATAGCCTCTGCCGACTGGGGGAGCATAGCCTCTGCCAACAGGAGGCTGGGTAACACCCTGGCCTGGCACTCTTATGCCACGACCTTGACCTACAATGTACAAATAGTAATGAGTGAGTGAGTGAGTTTAGATTTACGCCGCACTCAGCAATATTCCAGCTATATGGCGGCAGTCTGTAAATAGTCGAGTCTGGACCACACAATCCAGTGATCAACAGTATGAGCATCGATCTGCGCAATCGGGAACCAATGACATGTGTCAGCGAGCCTGATCACCCGATCCTGTTAGTCCCCTCTTACAACAAGCATAGTCGCCTCTTGTGACAAGCATGGGTTGCTGAAGACCTATTCTACCCCGGATCTTCACGGATCAAAAATAGTAATGAAAAGTTTCTTCATCCTTAGAAATATAGTGTTAACGCTAATGTTTTTTGGCAAACTGTGTGAGTGGCAAGTTTTCTGGCATTGCCATTGTTTTTTTATGTATTATGACTCCTTTGACTTCTGTTGTACTGAACTAGCAAATCATAAAATTGGTTTGATACGGAGTGACTGACTGCAGCAGGGGTGGAAATAACATTAAAATTGTGGTACAGTGGCACATGTAAAACCACTTGCCCTGATAATTTTTCCGCTATACCAGCCGATTTTCTTGGTGATTTTTTATATAAACAACATAATTAACATTGGAATGTCAACTGGACACCGGTACAGCGTGATATACAAATGTGCTTGTCCGACTGAAAAAAACACTGGACTCAGACGTCGGGCAATGGGTTATTTCCACCCCTGTGCAGTCTTAAGTAAACTTAAGCTCAGTATTATTATTCGTTACACTGCTATACTGAGTCTAACAAACCCTAGTAGAAGGTCGTGTCAGCTAACCTTTTGAATTGACCAATCAGAACAGAGCTTAGCAAATCAAGAAAGTAAACATTCGCACATACTGTTTTAACTTTTACCCTGAAAACTTGAACGAGTTCCGAATGTTATTTTCCGCACGATCGCTTCCGAGTGTTACACATGGAGGACACATTATTCACAACAGCGAGTTAACAATTGCTGAACAGAGCGTTTTTGTCAATATTCCAGAAATATAAGCTAATAATAATTTCATCAGAAACCAGTAAGCGTATATACTGCAGGTCAAATATCTGTGTTTTATGCAGATTTTCGTTTGATGAGAGATCAGTGTCAGCGACCGGGGAAGAGAAAATCCCAAAACCATTTTGTAAGTCCCGACGAACCCTAAAATAGTAGCTGTTGTCCGATTGGATAAATCCATTCAGCCGTCTCGCGTTTAATTGGACGGTCATAGGTTGCTCAAAGGTTACCTGACGCGACCTTTCACAAGGTTTTGTTAGACTCAGTACACAGTGTAAAGAATAATATTGAGCATAAGTTTACTTCGACTGTGATTGACTGTTTAATCAATGTTGCAGGTGGTGCTCAGGCTGGGGTCAGAATGCTGTGTTTATTTGTTGTTTAAAGCCACACTCAGCAATATTCCAGCAATATGGCGGCAGTCTGTAAATAATCGAGTCTTGACCAGACAATCCAATGATCAAGAACATGAGCATCGGGAACAGATGACATGTGTCAACCAAGTCAGTGAGTCTGACCACCCGATCCTGTTAGTTGCCTCTTAAGAACATGCATGTCATAATAAGTGCAAAACACCCAACACATATGTTATGGAAAAAGTTCCTTTATCAGATGTCTTACCCATTAGTCCTGTTGATGGAGGTAGAGCCATTCTGGGTGGCTGCACCTCTGCTGACTTGTCAGACGCACTGGTTGCATGCCTCTTCCTACAGCCTGTCAATAATATTTCATACATTTGAATTGGTGTCCAAATAACAGCTTGCCGTGTCCACTTAATTAATTTGGTAAAATTGGTTTGATTTTTTCACAAAATCATTTCAAGGAAACATGTGACATAATTCTGTAACATCAGATTACTGGTTGTCCAGTAGGAGTAATTATATTGTTGTTGGTGGTAGGGAGAAAACTATTTAATACTGAATGGATATTGTAAGAAACATCACAACCTCCGTAGTGGACAGTCCTGATCATGTCTGACGTTGCTGATGGTGCTCCACACCTCGTGACCTGTCCTGAACTATGGGCACCTGGCTAGTCCCACCCCAGGGGCACCTGCCTTGCCCCACTGCATGGGCACTTGCCTAGCCCAACTCCATAGGTACCTGCCTTTTTCACCCAAGGGGCACCTGCTTAGCCCCACCACAACGGCACATGACTAGCTCGACCACAGGGGCATGTGACTAGACGCACCTCTGGGGCACATGGCTAGCTCGACCACAGGGGCACATGACTAGATTCACCTCTGGGGCACATGACTAGCCCCACCCAAGGGGTACATGACAAGCCCCACCCAAGGGGCACATGGCTAGCCCTGACCTAGGGTGGGCAGGTGTCCCTATGGTTGAGCAATGCAGTAGTTGTGATTACTCCCATCAACAGTGCACATTTAGTGGGGGGGCGTTTGTCTTGCCATACATGACTAGCTCGACCCCAGGGGCACATGACTAGACACGCCCAAGGGGCACATGGCTAGCCCGATCCTAGGGTGGGCAGGTGTCCCTATGGTGGAGCAATGCAGTACTTGTGATTACTCCAATAAAACAGTGCACATTAAGTGGAGGGCGTTTGTCTTGCCATACATGACTAGCTCGACCCCAAGGGCACATGACTAGACACGCCCAAGGGGCACATGGCTAGCCCCGACCTAGGGTGGGCAGGTGTCCCTATGGTGGAGCAATGCAGTAGCTGTGATTACTCCCATCAACAGTGCACATTTAGTGGGGGGCCGTTTGTCTTGCCATACACATTGGGTAATTACATTGCCTGACCACCTGCAGAGCACCCTCACTCCCCAAAGAAAGGTGCCAGTCCTGCACTGAATTACCTGGAGCAACTGCTCAGTCCCACAACAGGAAAACCCACTCTCACCTGTGGCTGGTAGCCTGGCTGTGTGAAAAGGTTGGCGGCAATATCCTTCATGTCTCCCGCAGCTGATGGAACACCCCTGCCCCGCCCCCCTGCCTAGCCCCACCCCTGGGGCCTGCCAAGCTAGGGGTGGTGGTGGGGCACTGCTAGCATCAGGAGGCTGCACTCTTCCTGCAAACTTCTGAGACCCTGGACCTGAAGTGAGAACATCATCTTTCTAATTTCAATCCTGAAATATTCATCAACATTCCAAGAGCCTGTCTTTCATCACGATCTGAACTAGCTGTGATCCATACCATGACTGAATCATAATCTCCCTTAAGACAAGGTGAGTATTTCAGTGACATCACAGCCTGTCAGTTTCATGTTGGGGTCAAGCCGGTATCAGACATTTACCACTTTGGAGAAACTCATGTGTGTCCCTATATTGCCGACCAATAATCAAGGCACTTCCTCTGTTAGTCTGAGGCTGTGTGAATGAGAGGGTGAGTTTATAGTTTTACGACACTTTTAGCAATATTCCAGCAATATCATGGCGGGGGACACCAGAAATGGGCTTCACACATTGTACCCATGTGGGGAATCGAACCTGGCTGTTCAGCATGATGTTCTGATGCTACAACCATAAGGCTATCCCTCTGCCCCGAAGTCATGAAGACTTAGGGTTAGATTGACTTAGTACAGCCAACAGAAAATTGTCTCAGGAACACTTGGTGTTCTTCCATTAAACTTATTGAGCCTTAAGGCAAACTCATAACAGAATTAGTATATGATCGAAAGGGAGACAACTCTGTTATTCTGAGGCTGTGTGAATGAGTGGGTGAGTTTATAGTTTTACGCCACTTTTAGCAATATTCCAGCAATATCACGGCAGGGGACAACAGAAATGGGTTTCACACATTGTACCCTTGTAGGGAATCGAACCCGCATCTTCATTGTGATAAGCGAATGCTTTATTCACGAGGTTACCCCACTGTCCCTGAGGCTGCGGGGTAGCCTAGAGGTTAAACCATTCACTCGTCATGCTGAGGGACCCAAGTTGAATTTTGACGGTACTATGAGTGAAGCCCATTTCTGATGTCCCTCAAATTGATATTGTGGGAAGCGGTGGGCGAGCTGGTTAAAGTGCCAGGCTAGTGATCCAGAGAGGGTGAGGTGCCGGGATCGAGCCCACCTGTGACCGGGTGTAAAAACCTTGGAGTCAACTTTGTGTGCAGACTCTTTCAGTGTTGTCACAACCCCTAGTGTCCAGTACACAAACCTGTGCACTTAAATGAACCCATGAATCCGTTGGTATATGACCAGATGGTGGCCACATGAATACTAGTACATGCAAACACCTAGTTGCGGGTTCAGCAACGTGCAGTGAACTTGGACAAAGTACTGCGACTATGTGTGTCCCAGTCCACCCAGCTGTGAATGGGTACCTCGTTAGGATGAGAAAGCCACAATAACTTGGTGCGGCTAGTGACTGCAAGAGTTGTATACTCCCCAGGGTGTTCAGATTGATAATAAGATGTGCCGTTGAGATTGACATCCAATGATCGAGGGAAAAAAATACCAGCGCCTTGCGCAAGCACTAGTTGCGTGGATATGTGCGCTATATAAATATCCTATAATAATAATATTGCTGGAATACTCTCAAACAGTATACACTCACTGTTATTCAGACCTTATCTGTCTCCACACCCCTCAACTTACCCCCTCCGAGACTGGGCCACTGTGAAGCATCCTGGGAGTCAAGGTTGGGGGTAGAGTTGACCCCGGGGACAGGGCCCCACCCTGAGGCAGCTGGAACAGAGACAGGAGATTATCTAGGAGTCAAAGCAAGGTACCTTTGGAAGCGTATTATTGGGAAAAGGTCATTTTGTTCAAAGTCCAGGCATTTTAAAGTTCACATTTGTTGAAGGTCATAGGAATTGTAATATCCAATCTAATATTGGATAATATTGCATGAATGACTTTACCTCTCCATCAGCCCAGTTGTCAGTGAAACAAAGACATAACATAAGTTATAACAGGGCTATCTCACCTACCAGTCACCTTGGGCCATATCACTTACTGGCACCTTCAGCATCTAACCTACCAGGCATCTTGGGCCATTTAACCTACCTGGCATCTTGGGCTATCTGATATCTCACCTGCCTTACATCTTGGGCTATCTCAGCTACCAGGCATCTTGGGCCATCGCACCTTCCAGGCATCTTGGGCCATCTCGACTACCTGACATCTTGGGCCATCTCACCTACCAGGCATCTTGGGCCATCTCACCTTCCAGGCATCTTGGACCATCTCACCTACCAGGCATCTTGGGGGCCATCGCACCTTCCAGGCATCTTGGGCCATCTCACCTACCTGAAATCTTGGGCCATCTCAGCTACCAGGCATCTTGGGCCATCTCACCTACCAGGCATCTTGGGCCATCTCACCTTCCAGGCATCTTGGGCCATCTCACCTACCAGGCATCTTGGGCCATCTCACCTTCCAGGCATCTTGGGCCATCTCACCTACCAGGCATCTTGGGGCCATCGCACCTTCCAGGCATCTTGGGCCATCTCACCTACCAGGCATCTTGGGCCATCTCACCCTCCAGGCATCTTGGGCTATCTCACCTACCAGGCATCTTGGGCCATCTTACCTTCCAGGCATCTTGGGCCATCTCATCTACCTGGCATCTTGGGCCATTTAACCTACCTGGCATCTTGGGCCATCTCACCTTCCAGGCATCTTGGGCTATCTCACATTCCAGGCATCTTGGGCCATGTCACCTTTCAGGCATCCTGGGCCATCTTACCTTCCAGGCATCTTGGGCCATCTTACCTACCTGACACCTTGGGCCATCTCATCTACCTGGTATCTTGGGCCATCTCACCTTCCGGCCATCTCACCTTCCAGGTATCTTGGGCCATCTTACCTACCTGACACCTTGGGCCATCTCATCTACCTGGCATCTTGGGCCGTCTCACCTACCTGGCATCTTGGGCCGTCTCACTCTGGTCTTGTAGTCTTCGAGCTCTGCTTCCTCTTCTTCATCTTCCTCCTCCAGTTGTCGCTGCTGTAAACAGAAGCAAAACAGGTCATAACAAAACACCCTAAATAAGTCAAGTTAGAATCAATAATGTCATCCTGATATTTTAAACCATTAAGTTAAATTATATACAAAAAAAAATTCTGTTTGTCTACATACTCAATAATGATGCAATGGAATGTGGCAGAGTAAAACTGACATATGGTCATCGTGGCTGTCAAGAAGAGCATGTTCATGGCTACAGACGATTCACATCTAACCCTGGGCTGCACCCACCTGCTGACTGTAGTCTGTCGTGACGCCCCTGCCTACCCCCTGCCTGGCCCCTGGGGTCCAGCCCCTGCCCCGGGAGGTGGCCCGTGCCGGGCGTGACTGGATGGACATGGCTGAGGGAGGTATGATGATGTAGTTAGATGGCTTGTTGGAGCTGCAGGGAAGGTGTTTTTCTGTCAGCTTGAAGTTGTAGATCTGGGACATGGCGTCTGAGATGGCATAGCTGGAACAGCAGCAATCAAACTGGTCTGGTGATATGAAGTGAGGTTCACAATCTAAGTCCACATACTGTGAGTGGAGCGGAGCAGTGTGGTGTGGAGTGGAGATAAGTGGAATGGAGCTGAGTGGAGAGAAGAAGAGTGGAGATAAGTGGAGCGGAGCAGAGTAGAGTGGAGTTGAGAGGAGCAGAGTAGAGTAGAGTGGGAATGGAGAGGAGCGGAGAGGAGCAGAGAGGAGAGGAGATAAGTGGAGCGGAGTAGAGCAGAGTGGAGCGGAATGGAGAGGAGGTAAGTGGAGCAGAGCAGAGTGGAGTGGAGTGGAGTTGAGAGGAGCGGAGCGGAGTGGAGCAGAGCGGAGTGGAGCGGAGAAGTCCGCGAGGATGACAATTCAATCCCCTTAATCACCTCTTACGACAACCAAGTGCTGCTTCCTTTAAGACAAATTCCGACCCAGATCTTTACATAGAGTGAGGAAGGTCGGAAAAACTTACGCATATCTCTGCACGGTAGCCAGGGCACAGAAGTTACACTCCTTCTCTTCATGCCAGTCACATCTGGAACAGATGGTTAATCTTCCTTCACTTCACCAAAACTAAGTCCAACATGATTGTTGACTATCTCCAGCTTGATACTCGTACAATACGTTTTACTTTCCCCCATCTTGATATTCATCCCAAAAATATTTTGTCCCCTTCCTGTCCCAACTGTTTGTTACAAATCCCCACCTAGATAGCTGCTCAATGCGTTACATATTTATTAGGGGTGACTATTGAGGGGGAAACAACGATTGTGATAGTCTATTGCGACCGACTATTGCAATACTATTGCAACTCCGAGTCGCATGTTGTGTTTAAGAGGTATCAGGGGCAGATAACTCTAGATCAAAGTGAACGAATTTGGAAGTTCCTGTATTTTACGCTGCGCGTCTATCCAACGGAAGTCAATTACTAAACTATCAATAGTCACACATACTATCGATGCATCGATAGTTATGTAATTTTCTGACTAAAATTGATATTTTATACTTATCCTGACTCATGCTAAATGCTTGTCTCCTTCTTCTTGCGAATGATAGTGGAACACTTAAAATCTCTTGAAGTTCCCTTCTAAAAAGCGGACGTAAAATCATCACTCACCCACGAGTAGTTTCCCTTGACCCCTTTGGCGCCCTTTTTTGGTCACATGACCAGCCATGTTTGTCACTCTCTCCGTATGTATGCCCGACACCCGGATTTACAGGGAAATCCAGAGTGCCCTGAGAGGGGAGGTTGGGAGGGCTGACCTCATGAGTCAGGATAAGTATAAAATACAGAAAATTACACATTTTTCCTTATCCTGACTCATGCTAAATGCTTGCAGAATCCGTCGGAATCGGTGGTGGGTCAGGCCACTTCCTGGATTCACTGACTGTTGATTTACATCCTGTATTACCCCCCCATGGGAACTTATGATGGCACTGCTGATGATTCTGTTCTTTCAACTTCCTCTGATGAGTCTGGAGAAGGGGGAGGGGGGGGGGGGGACGGAGAGAAACCACAACTTGTCAGATTTCTTCTGAAACTTCTCCTGACATTTTCGTGTGGATTTTAGATAAACTAATGTTCCATTAGTTATGTATTGCAACTCCATCTCATGGAGATGCGACCCTTCTTCATGTACGAGTATGTCCTATACAAGTACAGGGTCTATCACATATGCTAGCCTGTCCTAGACGTGTGCATATGCTCTCCAGAGCGTTGGTTTTCACAAGTCACGTGATGTATGGGTGAGATCTACTCAGTGCCCTTGTGGAACCATTAGTTGTTGTGCTACAACAAGTGGCCCATACTGGTGAATGCCTGAGACGCCTTCGGTGGCAATGTCTCTGAGGTAGTGGTTGGCAAACACCGTGTCCGATTTCCAAAAGCATCCCTCCATTATTGTTGTAATCGAGCAGTTTCCATGCAGAGCAAGTGTAGATGCCAGGGCTCTGACTTCGTGGGGATTGGAGGCTCGTGGAGGCTCAAGTCCTGCTGCTTTGTAGGCCCTTAGTATAATGTCTCTCATCCATATCGATATCGTTGTCCGTGAGACTTCCGTGGGCGTCTCAGTGGATAAGGGGATGAATAGGCGCTTGAATTTTGTCTCCTTGTTTTCTGTCCTTTGTAGGTAGACTTTTAGTGCCCTGACAGGGCATAAGCATAAATCCTGTGTATCCTGTGGCCCAAGAACTGTAGAGAGTGCTGGGATGTGGAACTGTCTGTCAGGCTGGCCGGGCAGTTGGTTCTTGGCAATAAAGTCCCATCTCAGTCCTAGATGTACGATGTCACGATTCAAATTGTGTTCGTTCAAAGTCCAGAGCATGTATTTCTGACATCTGTGCTGCTGTTGCTAGGGCGATCAGGAACAGTGTTTTCTGTGTCAGTAGTTCAAAGGATGTCCTTTCTAGAGCTTGTAGGCATCACTGGTGAGATGTTGTAGAACTACGTTGAGATCCCAGGCAGGAGCATTGAATTTCTGTTGTTGGTCTTCCAACTTGAGCAAGCGTAGTAGTGCCAGTATCTCTGGTACTTTGGTCAGCTTGACACCCGTCTTCATGGTGATAACTGTGCTTAGAGCAGCCAGGTATGTTGATAGTGTTGAACCTTTTAAGTGTCCCGTCTGTCGCAGATGACACAAGTATTCCGCCACTTGAGGATGGGTTGCTTTTACTGCTGTAAAGCCTTTCCTCGTTGCATACTGTTCAAATCTCTGCCACTTGTCGTCGTACAAGTTGCGAGTTGATCTGCGTAGAGCTAGTGTCACTGCTTTTGCTGCTCTGGCGGAGTACCCTCTGGTCTTCAGGCAAGCTTTGATACGCTCCACGCGTGTAGCTGGAACAATGCCGGATTCCCGTCAGCTTGCTTGGTGTGTGGATGGACGAGCAGGTTCGACCACTCTGGTAGTTTCAGGGTTGGACTTCCGAGTTCTTGTATTAGGACAGGAAACCATACCCTCGCTGGCCAATAGGGCGTGACCAAGATCAGTTGCAGCGTTGTCGTCTGCGTGATTTTCTGTATTACTTGTGGTGATACTAGTGATGGAGGTGGAAACGTATAAGCGTTTAGTCCTTCCCATGAGATGCTTAAAGCATCTGTTGCCCATGCCTGAGGATCCGGAATCGGTGAGACGAATGTTGGTAGTTGCTTGTTGAACTTTGTTGCAAACAGGTCTATCAGTGGAGATCCTATTGTTTGTATGACATGCCTTCATGTAGATGTTCAGGTCGTCGACGATGCTGAACAGGAGAAAGCTGAGTTGTAGCAGACTTGTTGATCTTGTTGATCCCTATTTGCTGATGTAGAACGCTACTGTGGAGTTGTCCGTGTGGACCGTGAGCCTTGCGTTTTTTAGTACGCTGGACCAGTGTTGTAAAGCGTTGATCACTGCTTTCATCTCCAGCAGGTTGATGTGCAGACTCGACCACTTCCCTGCTGCCACTTCGTTGTCGAGGTGGGCACCCCATCCTTGTAGCGATGCATCCACGTAGAGATGAGTGTTGCAAAAAGGTTCCTCCGCAAACATTTGACTTCCGAGTCCACCATAGGAGGTATGGTTTCAGGCTGTCTGGTAGTATCAGCGGATCCAGACTGTCGAGATGGGCGTTCACAAATATTTGTAGTGGGTGCAGTTGTAATCTCCCTCTGCGAGTCATGTCTTGAGCTGAGGTGAGTTAGACAGAGCATGCTTTGCCAAGCACGTAGTGTCAACAGAGAGAGCACTGCTTGAGATATCATATGTTGTATCTTGACCCAAAGATCCGCTGGGACGACTATGACATTCACCGGCGCGATGAGTCGTATTCCTAGAAATTGAAGATCCTGTTTCGGCTCCAGTTCCGACTTGAGGAGATTTACCAACCATCCTAACTGATTGAGAAGCCTAATGGTGAAGTCTAGTTGCAGTCTGAGTTGACTGTGATCTTGATGAACTTGAATTCCGTCATCCAGGTAAAAAGCACTGCGTAGACCTCGACGATGCAGATATGTGACGATGGGCTTGGTCACTCGAGTAAACAAACAGGGGGCCGACGATATTCCAAACGGTAGAACCTTCCACTAGAAGTGATGTCCTTTGAAAAGGAATCTTAGGTATTTCCTTGAGTCTGGATGTATTGGGATGTGTAGGTATGCATCTTGCAGATCTATGCTGGCGAGGTAGTCTGATGGACGAACGAGATGTCGGAGCTGAGGAAGATGTGTCATCTTGAATTTTGCTGGTCTGCGGAGATACTCCTGGTTGAATTTCCTCATGTTGTAGATGAGCCGAAACTTCTCCTTGGAATTCTTCTTCGGTACCAGGAAAATTGGGGAGTAAAAACCGGGCGTGATGAGATCTTGATTTATCTCTTCTACTACATCTTTGTCGAGTAGAGTATTGATTGCGTCGTCCAGTTTCTCTGTCTGGTCGGCTGTGTAGTTAAAGGCCAGCAGGTTGCTTGTAAGCGGCAACCTGGCTTCCAACGGTATCTTGTACCCTCTGCGTAGTATCTGGGATACGTAGTCGTCCTGAAGTATTCCCCAATTCTCCCAGTACCATTGAAGATGTCCACCCACTGTCGAAGGTTGTACAGGATGGCTGGGGATGGAAGACTCCAGTCGTTCTGAACCTGGCCTTCAGCGCTTGATTCCCCTGGCCTACCTGGGTGCTCGGACTCTTCAGGGGTTACTTCTGGGGGCTCCAGTTGGGCGACGAAAAGAACCTCTTCCTCCTCTCGAGCTGGAATACTTCTTTTATCTGGCTCTTTGGACTCCTGCAAACTTGGATTTGTTGGAGTAGCGCTGGGACGTCTGGCGAATCACATTTGCCAAGGTATCTATGGACTTTATCATCACGACCTCCCTTAATTCGTGCGTAACCTCTTTGGCGAATTCTTCAGTTCCTCCTCCGAAGATGGATGATGCTGACCATGGGGCTCTGTATAAGGACTTGGTGAACTGCTCACTCCAGGTGCACTATGGCAATAATCCTTGTCTCCTCAGGAGAGTCAGGCCCGCTGATGTGGATACGAGATGCTCCGACATAAACTGGTGGTCCATTTTCTGAGTCAGTAGCGCAGAATATATCATCTGGTCGTCTTTGGCGATGGAGCTCTTGAATTTCGAGATGAGTGCTTCGTTGATAGCCTTAGGTCTGGCTAGTCCGAAGAAGGTACGTCTAGTAGTCATATCTAGTTGCGCTAGCTTCTTGTCTTCTATCTTGTAAGTTCTATAGCGGGAATTGTTGATGATCTTGTAGTCCTCATCAATCTCTGGTGCCTTCAGGAAGGGTTCTATGTGATGTAAGGTGAATCTCCTGGCATTGAACGTCGGGATATGCTGATTCTGGAACTTGGTAGCCTTATCAAAGGCTGAGCTGAGACTGTCCGGACTGTTGGGAGATCGGGTCGACAGGAGGAAAGGTGATTGTGTCGAAATCATCGTTGGACATCTTGTATGTAAACGCTTCGTCTATGTCATTGGAAGGTGATGCTAGGTCCAGGCCATTAGCAATCCATGAGGTTACTTAAGTATTGGAGAATATGACTTCACCTTCTTCCTCTGATTTAGACATCTCCAGCTCTGACGATCCACGACGACGTGAGTCTCTGTGTGAAGATCAATATGACGAACTGCGAGCAGGTGAACGATCCCGATGTGATCGTGTATCCTTCCTGGAGTCTTGAGTCTTCCTCTCTCTAGGCCTTCATGAAGGTTGATTCTTAGAAGTAGTTTCCCCTCTGTAAGATGTGGAGTGCCTGCGTGCAGGTTCCCGATGTGCGTCTGAGTCCGACGGTGATGACGACCCGTATCCACAACATCTGTAGGGTTCGGGAGAACGCTTCAATCTGCTTCTGCATGGAGAATTCTTAGCGGCTCCTTCAGGGACCTCTAAGTCCGAGCTGACGTTAGTAGCGTTGTCCAGGCTCCTAATTTCAGATGGGGAAGATCGTCGGGCGCGTGAGCCTTCACGCAGGCTTCCCTCTTCTTCCAAGTGTGTTGGAGAGACTACTGAATCTTCACGCAGGCTAGTAGTCATCGTAGTGGTCTTCGTAGCAGCATTCTCCTGCACGAAGCTGACGTTCCATCATCGACATCATCTGGTCTGTAAACTGTTGCATAAACAGCCCCGGGTTGAAGTTCTGTGATGTCTGGAGAGACTGCTGCAGGGTTGATGCTGCTTCTGACAACGATGAGGCGTCTTCTAAGGCACGCTGCACTTGTACCCGATGTCTGCGTTGATAGAAGATGTTCTGTCAATGTCTGCACTGATAAAGTTGTCGATGTAGCTGTAGAAGCAAGCTTCGTCTTCTTGCTGACGACTGTGACTTCAGGATTGGGGGATCATCATACACGTCTGCTTCTGCCGGAGGTACAATCTCAGCAGAGAAGGATCTCGTCTTCTGCGTAGAGCTGTGTAGAGACTTCGACGAAGTCTTAGGGGTGGTAGCCTTCTTCTTCTGCGTTGAAGACGATCTAGTCTTCTTCGTCTGCGAAGAGGTCAGCTCCATTGACGACGATCTCTTATTGGCTCCAGAGTTCATCACTGGAACAGCGACCTGCCCCCGAAAAAACGCTCGGCAATTCACTGGAATTATGAACATCGGCAGCAGTAGTTAACACACGGTTATCGGCGCAATCACTCGATTTAGACATGACTTGTGAATACCTTCTTACCCAGTCCTTTGCACGTCTATGAATGGAAAAAAAAGAAGGTAGTTATTAAATTCAAAAGTGGTTAAATTCAGACAATGTTTACAGCAAGAGCTGAAAGAACATGAAGTAGTGCAATCAGGACATAATGAATGTGGGTCAGCCGCAGACAGCCGGTACCTACAACGAATACAAGTTTTCATCAAATGTAAACACGATAAAAGAACATGTCAAACAACATATTTAGATCAAATTTCAAACCATATGGTAGAATACAATCCTAAAAGCCGTATACAGCAATAATTTTGATGTAAAGGTCCAAAATAGAAAAGGATATGTGCCGTATAGGGACCCAGCTGCTCTCACAACTGTCCTTGAGGGCGAAGAAAGAGAGAGTGACAAACATGGCTGGTCATGTGACCAAAAAGGGCGCCAAAGGAGGCAAGGGAGACTACTCGTGGGTGAGTGATGATTTTACGTCCGCTGTTTAGAAGGGAACTTCAAGAGATTTCAAGTGTTCCACTATCATTCGCAAGAAGAAGGAGACAAGCATTTAGCATGAGTCAGGATTAATTGCTATCGGAGACTCAACAATTGCAATCCATCGATAGTTTGATGCATCGTTACAGCCCTAATATTTATACACCATGTTGATATTTATCTAAATAGTTACATATCCCTACCTTGTGCCTGACACATAGTCCCAGCTGCTGGAGGTCAGCATGTCGGAGATGGAGGTCATGGAGATGCTCTGTTTCCCAGCCTGGCTGTACAGGTCACCCACCAGGCCCCCAAGGTCATAGACGCGACGGAGGCGGTTCACTGTTCCCAAACATGTGTGGTTACAGATCCACTCGAGGCAGTACGCTGTCTTCTCGTACGAGTCAGTCTGGAGAGTGAGTGAGTGAGTGAGAACTTGAACAGGATCACAGGACTTAGATACATTAGCCAATGTTTAACAACATTTAACTTATCTTCTGTGCAATTTATATGTCTTTATTAAGGGTAATCGATAGGCATGAAACTGAGGGTTGTACACGGTACAATAATAAACACGAATATGGTGCTCATAGGGTCATTTTTGTAATGTGTACAAGACTAAGAAAACAAGCATTGTCACTAAGGTGACATAATCCCCCCGCCGCAAATGATCAAATCAAACTTAAAAAGTAATGAAAGTATAAATGAAGTTAATTGTCAACAAAAACATGACCAGTCAACCTCTCGATATCTTCTCTTTAGTTGTTTAAACACGCAAATATTTTCAAGACTGACTTTGACCTTGACATGAATGTCTTAGTGTATGAAATATGCAAAAATGGTACTAAAGAAATTGCTTATTGAAAAACATTCAAGGGAAGTCTTGAAAGTCTATGAAGAAAATCCAGTGAATTCAGGTTAACATGCTGAAATCTTCAAAGTGTCGCAGTGACCTTGAAAATTATGTGAAGGTCACCAAAATTCACTGGACCCTGCGCCTTCATTAGATGAAGATTGGTGTCAAATATGAAAAAGATCCAGTGAATGTTTTTAGCAATATCTTGCTGACTATCTTAACATGCAATTTAACATGCCGAAATCTTCAAAGTGTCTTTGTGACCTTGAAAATTAGATGAAGGTCACCAAAATCGACTGGGCCTTGCACTTTCCCTAGATGAAGCTTGGAGTCAAATATGAAGAAAGTCCATTGAATGGTTCTTGAGATATCTCGCTGACCATCTTAACATGCAGGTTAACATACTGAAATCTTCAAAGTGTCGCTGTGACCTTGAAAATGAAGGTCACCAAAATCGACTGGGCCCTGCGCCTTCCCTATATAAAGCTTGGTGTTGAATATGAAGAAAATCTAGTCAGCGGTTTTTGAGATATCTCGCTGACAAGAGTAAAACATTAAAGTCCCCGTGTGACTTTGAAATGAAGGTCAAGGTCACCAAACCTGACTGGGAGCTTTCTTATACTGTGATGAACCTAGCTACCAAATATGAAGAATCTTGTCAACAGTTCTTAAGATATTCTAATTCGTACGTACGTACAGACGGATGGAGCCTAATACTATATCCCCTGCTTCACACTCAACGCGCGGTGAGGATCATTAAAACTAAGTCAGGAAATCTTGTAGAGAAATCAGCAATTGGTCATTTGTTATGATCACCTAAAATAAATTACCAGGTCCCAGATATTGTTCAAATTTAGAATTTTGAAAACTCCTACTATTAAAATACCTCCTACTAACAACAGTAACACAAAATTCAAATTTTGAAAAAAAAGACAAGCCTTTTTTCAGTCAAAAAACAATCCCGTGATTGATATTGTACAAAATATTACATCAATAGGTTACAGAGCATAACACGCATGTAAGAATACCCCCAACACTCACTGATGATGTTGGGGTCCTCTCCCTGCTTGTATCTTCACCGGAACAGATTTTCTGACCATCTAACATGCTTTTATCTATGTTATTTTTTATAAGGACTTACAAGAGTGAGTGAGTGAGTTTAGTTTTACACCGCACTCAGCAATATTCCAGCCATATCACGGTCTGTAAATAATCGGGTCTGGACCAGACAATCCAGTGATCAACAGCATGAGCATCGATCCGCGAAATTGGACTCACCAGACAGTACACAGGTGGGTAGTCTGGTTTTTCACCACTTGGGTTGATGAAGTTCTCAAGTTGTATCCACAGACCTCGGTAGTTTTCATCCGACAATTCAAAATTCTCCACAGGTATCTGATGGGTTTCGTCACCTGAAAAACATCACTGGAGATATCAGGGCTTCACTCAACAAACTCTACTTACTGAGTGAGTGAGTTTGGTTTTCCAGCAATATCTATCACCACTAGGGTACTCTGACGATCGAATGCTTTAACCACTAGGGTACTTCAAAACCAGGTCATCCCTGGTCACGGTGAACAAAACTCTATATCACTTTCGCCAGCTGATATTGGTATTACGCCACTTTTAGCAAGTTGCAACTTGACACCAGACAAAACCAGGTTATCCCCGGTCACGAGAACTGGGCTAGTGTTGTGCTAGTCTACTGACAGTATCCCATCAATTAATGAAGTATTGCTGCAAAATATTATAGAAACGTGCACACCATCTTGAAGTAAAAGGTTTGGTGTCAAGCCAAAGAAAGCAAAACAAATTATAAGGTGTAGTAATATAAAAAAGCTTAGGAGGTGCTGAGCATATTGAAAGGTCAGCTTTGTGATGACAAGTATGAATCAGACACAATCTTTTAAAATTGTTGACATTAGTTTAGAGAATTTGTTGAAATCTCACAACTGATAATTGCTTCATTACCAACGACAATCATCGAACAAAATTGGTAAGCGTTATTTTTCAGATTATCTTATTCAGATTGTTCTTGGAGATAAGTATAACATGATGTAACTTGCTACTTTTAAAGTGATGACTAATATGTCATGAACATGAACAACCTGGAGTCTTCAAGAAATATTCAGTCATGACTTTTCAGTTAGTGAGTGAGTTTTCCAAGAATTAATCATGTTTTCAGGCCGAAAACTTCGAAAATATGTTCCATCATCAAGTGTTTCAAAGACTAAAACAGTAGGAAATGTGATCGATTGCCAGGTCGTTTGGTGACTGTGACCAATCTTTGATTATTTCAATTAATCAGTACACCACTATCTGACATGCACTTTTTTGATGTAGACATAAATGTCAGGTGCATAATTATTACCAAGTTGTGCTTCTAAATTTGTTATATAGCTCAATCAAGTCCTCCAATTCCATAACAAGTGTACGTGGGAATCTTTAATTTGGGAAGTTTTACTGACAATTGTGACAGAGTTGCAGCCTAATAATCGCCGGTAAGCAGTTTGGGATATATTGCAACAGATATTCAGATTCAGAGATAATCCAGGCATCCAAGACCAGACTAAACCAGACATAATCAAGACAATTAGTGGTTGATGGGATCCATGTCGTTTGGTACGCTTGCTTGGTTTTGAGGGGTAAAAACTCTTTGGAAGCCAGACTCAGAAATATTCCAGCTATATGACCTATATGGCCTTTCAAGAATTGATTCCGGAGCAGACAATCCTGTGACTGATATGCCTCCCACCTCCACCATCTCGCCACTTACAACCATTATGGATTAATGGGGACCTGTTTGATATCAGGATCTTAACAGATTTCTGAATTTCAATACGTACTGTTTGTCATACAGGTGTATCGGTAGCCTGTCGGTATCCGCCCTGGAAAAGAAATTCACACTGAAAATACTTATGATGGGAGCTAGAATACAACTTAACTTACGATCGTGTTGACTGGTGAGTGAGTGAGTTTAGTTTTATGCCGCACTCAGCAATATTCCAGCTATATTGCGGCGGTCTGTAAATAATTGAGTCTGGGCCAGACAATCTAGTGATCAACAGCATGAGCATTGATCTGCACAACTGGGATACGATGACATGTCTCAACCAAGTCAGCGAGCCTGACCACCCGATCCCGTTAGTCGCCTCTTACGACAAGCATGGGTTACTGAAGATCAATATTCTAACCCGGACCTTCACGGTCCCTGTTGACTGGAATAATTACATATGTCATGCTGGAAGATCTGTTCAACAAGAGCTGCAACGAATACATTTATAGAGCAAACCCTGAAATTAAAATGACACTAAATTTCTCTTCGTAAATCTTTCAGATACTATATTTTTCTGATCACTGCATCAGAATTCATCTCGTAACATGTATGTTTTTGACTGAATCACCAGTAGATTGCGGGCAAACGTGTGTACGTGTGTGCTATTTCCGGCTCTGTATACAAGACAAATACACACGGTAATCTTAGTCCCTGCATATAATACAATGCCTAGCAAAAAACTATTAGAACTAGATGAGTCAAGTGGAAAAACTCTTAATATAAGTGTACATATTTGACTCAAGAGAAGACAAATATTGAATTAAATTCATGAAGAGTGAGTGAGTATGTTTTTATGCTGCCTTTAGCTTTTTTCAGCAATATCATGGCAGGGAACACCAGAAATGGGCTTCACACATTGTACCCATGTGGGGAATCAAACCTGGCTGTTCAGCATGATGTTCTGATGCTACAACCATACGGCTATCCCTCTGCCCCGAAGTCATGAAGAGTTAGGGTTAGATTGTCTTAGTAAAGCCAACTGAAAATTGTCTCAGCAACACTTGGTGCTTTTCCATTAAGCTTATTAAGCCTTAAGGCAAACTCATAACAGAATCAGTATATGATCGAAAGGGAGACAACTCTGGAGACACTCATCAAAAAGCAGCTTGCATACAAACGAGAAGTTCATTATCTGGCCACTGTAAAGATCTAAAATAAATGATCAAAGCTTCCATTAAAATCATATTGACATCAGATTTGTGAAATTGGTTTACCAGGTTCAATAAACCGATGTAACTTCTTTGTGATCCCCTTCTGGAGATTGTACTCGATGACAGCAATCTCACAGGGGAGATAATCCCCATCTTCTGTCCGACAAAGTACCTGGAAGTTGATAAAGTAGAAGTACTCCTCCATGACATCTGCAAAAAAACAAAGTGAAGGTCAAATGGGGTTTTGCATCTCGTTCAAGTTATTGGTACTTATAAAGTAACATGTCCACATCTGACCCGTGAAGATCTGGGATAGAATTGATCTTCTGTAACCCATGCTTGTTGTAAGAGGCGATTAACAGGATCGGGTGTTCAAGCTCGCTGACTTGGTTGACACGTGTCAGCGTATCCCAATTGCGTAGATTGATGCTCATGACGTCAATCAGTGGATTGTTTGGTACAGACTTTATTCCTTCAGAGGCCCAGATAAGCTGCGTATCCGGGTAAAATGCGCATAGAAAATTTCCAATTACGCGTTGAAAAATAATTGTTGCGTACCAATAACGCATTTAATATGTTAGATATGCAAAAAGTTTAAAACAAATGTGTACGGAATATATTTATAAAAATCGCTTGCGTAATGAAAAAGACATCGATTGCTATCAAGTTGTACTGTTAGTATAGGACAAGTGTTGTACTGTCAGTAGAGGATGAGTGATTTTTTTATGAAATCATTTCCAATATATTTAAGTTGGTTTTGATTAGGTATGACAAAAGGCAGAACATACCTGCTTAGTAAACTTACTCAATGACATAATATTTAGGTGAGTAAAATGACTGAAATACTCACATATTTGAAAACAGTGGGTAACGGAAAATGAAATACCCACTCAACAGTCATAATACCCACTCCAAAACAATACAGTGGGTACAGTACCCACACAAGCTAAATCTTATCTGGAGCTCTGTTACGAACAGCTGTCATATAAGAAAATAAGAAAGATTATGGATAACAACTTCTTTATTATATATGATCAGAGGTACAGATAAGCTGCGTATCTGCGTAAATTGTGCAAATATTTATGTGAAAACTCAATTCCTTTTAAGGCTATTGCGTACAATTACGCTTGAATTTTTGTAAATACTCAATAGATGTGATCTTACATGCGTACAGACAAAAATGTAAAAAAAAATCTTAGCTTGTGTACCGGGTGGATAGATAAAATAACTGAGGTATACTGAGAGGTTCTGTTTCAGGACTTGAACTTGGCAACTTACAGTCTTTCTTATCGTTTCTCATATTACAGATCAAATATAAATAACACACACTAACATTTAACATTATATTTTTACAATTAATGGATTATGACAAAATACCCAATTGAGTTTGAGTGAGGTGAGTACACTTTATTTGGTTACTCAAAGGAAAATTAGGATACCCAATTGAGATGAGCACAAGGGAGTACATAACTCAATGACCCAAAACGTTATCTGTAGCTCTGTATGATGCGACATTTCGGTATGGATTCGTATACCGTTGTCAAGCACTCTTGCTTTGACAACGGTATACGAATCCATACCGAAACGTCGCATCATATATAATAAAGAAGTTGTTATGCATAAACTTTCTTATTAGTCACCAACTTCTAAATGCCAATCAAACAGATCAGCTGTCATATAGCTGGAATATTGCTGTGCGGCATTAAACAACAAAGAATTAAAGGAGGGGAGCACCCCCAGCCCATTCCACCCAGCAAATCACATGTCACCAACCCATCTATACCCAGACCTCCAAGCAATCTACCAATTGCCTTCCACTTCATTAGAGAACAAACGGACAAACAAACAAACAAAACATAACTGTACTTCTGTATTGCTCCCCATACAAGTCTGAAACTAATGTCATTTCATTGTGCTTGCTCACTCCTTTAACATGGATACCTCTCTCAGACATATTATAGCCAGAGGTACAGATAAGCTGCGTATCTGCGTAAATTACGCAAATATTTATGTGAATACTCAATTTCTATTAAGTCTATTGTGTACAAGTATGCTTGAATTTTTGTAAATACTCAATAAATGTGATCTTACATGCGTACACACAAAAAATGTCAAATCTTAGCTTGCTTACTGGTGGTTAGATAAAATAACTGAGGTATACTGAGAGGTTCTATTTCAGGAAATGAACTTGACAACTTACAGTTTCTCATAATACAGAAAAATATAAATAACAAACACTAACATTTAAACTTTATAATATTTCTAAAATTAATGGAAAATGGCAAAATACCTAACTGAGTTTGTGTGAGGAGAGTACAATTTATTTGGTTACTCAAAGGAAAATTAGGATACCCAATTGAGATGAACACAAGCGAGTACATAACTCAATGACCCAAAACGTTATCTGTAGCTTTGTATAGCGGCTCCAACTGGAACTGTCCTTCTATCCAGTTACCCATTTAGTGCCGCATGAAGGCAAGGTAACAACAAACACCATTTTGGACTGACTGACTGACTGACTGAGTTTGGTTTTACGCCGCTTTTAGCAATATTCCAGCAACATCACGGCGGGGAACACCAGAGATGGGCTTCACACATTGTGCCCACGTGGGGATTCAAACCCGGGTCTTTGGCGTGACGAGCCAACGCTTTAACCATTAGGCTACCCCACTGCCCCCCCATTTTGGAATGACACGATGGAAGATTGAACCACTGACTGGCTCTTTTCAAATGGATGTGAAGGAGTATTTAATTTCACGCTTGTTTTTAATTTGCTGAATTAATTCACATTTGACACAACGATACTTGTTTTTGTTTTTTGTAAATAAATGCAAAGATGAGTCAAAAGTGTGGTCAGGCAACTTTCAACACAGACAGGCAACATTTATTGGTCACCTGCCTAACTGTCTGGTTGAGTTTGAAAATTATTTCGATCACTGAGGCAGATGCTCTATCAGCTACACCACACAAAGGTCCCAGTCACTGGTTCCCCTTTTCAATTTAGTTGCCCTTCACAGCAACATCTTTAAGCCCCTTTTGGAAAGACAAGATGGAAGATTGAACCACTGACTACACCACATGACGGACTAAGTCACTGATCCCAATAATCCGAAACAATTTAACTGCTCTTTACATAAAGCAATGGCGATCCTGGCACTCAGGCTTACCCTTAGTCTTCCAAGAGGCGACCACCTCATCTCTTCCCTTCTTTATTCTCTTGCTCTCCTCCAACTTCGGGTCCTTCCGATGCTGAAACAGTTTTTTTAAAATTAACGGAGGTCCTGGGATTATAGAAACTTGTTACTATACTATTTGAATCTAGTGAGTTAGTGAGTATGGTTTTACGCCGCTTTTGGCAATATTCCAGCAATATCATGGCAGGGGACACCAGAAACGGGCTTCACATATTGTACTCGTGGGGAATCGACAGGACGACGGAAACGCTTGAACCACTACGCTACCCCAAGAAATCTAGAGACAACACAGATATCCAAATATAAACATGATGGCAAGAACTAAATGGGGGTTCCCAAAACCCTGAAATATTTCTGATAGATCATTTGAAACAACATTGCAATTATCACAAGGACTTTCAAGCTCTATTTCAGAACACTGATAACAAAATCTTTTTTAAATATACAAATTTTATTTTGAATCAGAATTTGTTTGTTTGTTGCTTAAAACCATTCTCAGTAAGATTCCAGCTGTATATGTTCAGTTGGTTACAGACTGCCATCACATAGCAGGGGTGGAAATAACCCATTGCCCGACGTCCGAGTCCAGTGTTTTTTTCTGTCGGGCAAGCAAATTTGTATATCACTGTACCGGTGTCGAGTTGACATTCCAATGTTAATTATGTTGTTTATTTAAAAAAACACCAAGAAAATCGGCCGGTATAGCGGAAAACTTATCAGGGCAAGTGACTTTACATGTGCCACTGTACCGGAGTACACTAGCAATTTTAAAGTTATTTCCACCTCTGCATATAGTCCGTTTGTCTCAAAATTGGACCGATGAATTGTTTTGATTATGATCAGCGTTTCATTGAGTATTTCATGTTTATTAGTTTTCGAGTTAGATTGCAATTCATCGGTCCGCTTTTGAGCCAAACGGACTATGGCTAGAATATTGCTGAGTTTGACAACAAATAAACAAATCTTGAACATGTAAAATTTCATTCTACAATATGACTGTCAAATTGTGCTGTAATTGTACTTACTGCAATGATGTTGCCCACATTGTCCATTCTGTACTGGTCCCCGACCGTTCCTCTCATCTTGGCCTTGTACTGCTTGGCCATCTGTTCATATCTCTCTTTCTCCTCCTTGGGGAGAACCTGTAACAGTCAGGTAGGAAAGTTGAGGTGAGGTGAGGTGAGGTGAAATTGGATTTAACGTCGTGCTTGAGAATATTTCGCTCCTGACGACATGCATGCGTGTGTGTATGTGCGGCTGCTTGTACTAGCCCAGAATTAAGGTGGTTTCGTTGAGCTAGCTCACTGAGATACCATGCCGCAGTTAAGCATGGATACCCCACTCAGACACATTATACCGACTCCAAGCCGACCAGTCCTTGTTGTACCCATTAATGCCGAGCACCAGGCAGGGACCAACAAGTACCATATTTTAACGTCTTTTGGTATGACGCTGTCAGGGATCCAACCCCGGGACCTTCCGCTCTCCAGGCGGACGCTCTAACCACTGCACCATGGAGGCGGTCAGGGGCATACTGTATAACACTTTGGGCAGTACAGACAAGGACTAGAGATGAGGTGAAATGGGGTTTAACATGGTACTTAAGAATATTTTGCTCATAGGATGCCATGCATGCATGTGTATGTGCAGGTGCTTGTACAAGCCCAGAATTAAGGTAGTTTTGTAGAGCTAGCTCACTGAGATACCATGCCGCAATGAAGCATGAATACTCCACTCAGACACATTATACTGACTCCAAGCCGACCAGTCCTTGTGTACCCATTAATGCGGAGCGCCAGGCAGTACCAACAAGTACCATATTTTAATGTTTCTTGGTATGATGCGGTCGGGGATCGAACCCGCAACCTTCTTCACCCCGGGCGGACACTCTAACCGCTACACCACAGAGGCGGTTGACAAGGACTAGAACTGATCGTCCATTTTGAGGTTAGGTTAAGCGTGATTAATGTTGTGTTCAATGTCATTGCACTCATCTTGTAACTTGAGTGAGTGAGTGAGACAGAAAAGAGTGAGAGGGAATGAAAGCAAGAGAGAGAGGGAAGAGAGAGAGACAAAGAAGGCAAGAGGGAGTTGAAACCGGTCTACTGTACTCTTATCATCAGGTGACATGACACATTTTGAAACATAACAAACTTTATATGATACAGAGGTAGAGAAAAGCTGCATATCTGCGTAAATTACACAAATATTTATGTGAAACTCAATTCCTACTGAGTCTGTTGCTTACAAGTATGCTTGAATTTTTGTAAACATTGAATAAAGTTGATCTTACATGCGTACAAACAAAAATAGAAAACATAACTGAGGTATATTGAGAGGTTCAATTTTCAGCACCTGAACTTGAGTCTTTCTTATCGTTTCTTATATTACAGATCTATATGAATAACAAACACATAACCAACATTTAAAATTTAATATATTTTTAAAATTAATGGAAACTGGCAAAATACCCAATTGAGTTTGACGGAGGTGGGTACAATTTAATTGGTTACTCAACGGAAAATTAGGGAACCTAATTGAGATGAACACAATCAAGTCAATAGATAGATACAACTCAAGTCAATACATACATACATACATACATACATACATATACATAACATTTGTATACAGCATACGATATCCAGCTCAGCTGCTCAAAGCGCTTTGTTTTTCCCTACATCACTGGATGTCAATCTCAACGCACATTGTATTATTAATCTTCAACTCCCTGATCACTGGATGTCAATTTCAACAGCACATTGTATTATTAATCTCAACTCCCTGGGGAGTATACAACTCTTGCAGCCACTAGGCGCACCGAGTTAGCGTGGCTTTTTCATCATTACGAGGTACCGATTCACAGCTGGGTGGATTAGGACACATAGTCACAGTACTTTGTTCAAGTTTACTGCACGATGCTGTACCCGCAACTAGGTGTTTGCACGTACTCATGTGGCCACCATCTGGTCATATACCAACGGATTCGTGGGTTCTTTTAAGTGCACAGGGTTGTGTACTGTACATTAGGGGTTGTGACAACACTGAAAGAGTCTGCACACAAAGCTGACATCAAGGTTTTTACACCCGGTCACAGGTGGGCTCGATCCTGTCACCACAAGCTCGCTGGATCACTAGCCTGGCGCTTTAGCCGGTTCACCTACCACGCCCATCAATGACCCAAGAAGTTATCTGCAGCTCTGTACAAATCAGATTCAGCTTCATAATTTACAAGTTAAACAGTCAAAGAACACCCAAGCAAGCAGATGGGGGAATGGGTGATGGGGTGATCTGTCCCACTGAACCTGTCCAACACCAGAAAATCAATAACACTGTTACGTACTGGCCACACCATCCAGGAAATCATCAACAATCCTTGACCTCAGAAGTTATTGAGTGAGTGAGTTTAGCTTTACGCCGCTTTTAGCAATATTCCAGCAATATCAAAATGGGCTTCACACATTGAACCCATGTGGGGAATCGAACCCGGGTCTTCGGCGTGACGAGCTAATGCCTTAACCACTAGACTAATCTGGTTACGCTCAATTATTGTCCCAGTTCATAAAAAGGGAGATGTAAACAACCCAGACAACTACAGAGGTATATCATTAATGAGTATTTTAGGTAAAGCTTTTACATCTATTCTAAATAATAGACTTACACTGTGGGCAAACATGCACGATAAAATTCCCAAATGTCAAGCAGGATTCAGGAAGTCTTATTCTACATCAGACCATATTTTCACCATATATGCAATTATTCAGAAATGTTTATCTCAACACAAATCTAAATTGTATGTCGCATTTGTTGATTTTAAAAAGGCGTTCGACTCAGTTGATCGTTCCAAACTATGGTTTTGTCTTAGAAATGCTGGCCTGGGAGGCAAAATGTACACCATGCTTACGTCATTGTATTCAAATATCAAATCATGTGTACGCAGTCAAGGTGGTTTATCTGATTTTTTTTATTGTCCAGTCGGTTTAAGACAAGGATGTATTATGAGCCCTATCCTGTTCTCTTTCTTCATAAACGAGTTATGTAATGATATTTCGCTGCAAGGTAAGCATGGTGTCCAGTTATTTCCCGACATTATTGAAATATTTATGTTACTTTTTGCAGACGATGTAATTCTAGTATCTACCTCAATTATTGGGTTACAAAACCAACTAAACATACTAGAAAGATATTCTTCAGAATGGTCGCTATCAGTAAATCTTGAAAAGACTAATATTGTTGTATTTAGAAAAGGTGGTCCCCTCTCTTCGAAGGAAAAGTGGTGTTTTAATTCTAAACCCGTTAATGTCGTAAATCATTATAAATACCTCGGTGTAAAGCTTTTTTTATCGCTGGTTAAACCAAGGCGTAGGTAATGTCAATGTTTTCCTGAACCAGTTTAGAGATCGCTGTATATGTATTTTTCAACAAGAATGGCACTCGAGGTTAGAAGAAAGCTCCCGTTTTGATTGTTACAGACAGTTTAAGTCCCTTTTAGAACCAGAAAGATATTTATCCCTCGTGACTACAAAGAATCTGAGACTGCTACTTGTAAAATTTAGATTGGGGCTATTAGATTTAAAAGTAAATGAAGGAAGAAGACTGTCTATTGATAGAAATTATAGATCATGTCCATTTTGTAAAAAAGGCATTGAAGACGAATTACATTTTCTTGTTGAATGTCCAGCCTATGATAAAATCCGTTCTGATTTTCTCCGTAACTGTATTACAATCAGAAGTAATAATGCAGCATTTTACAAAATTGTTTCCTCATGCGATGTCTCCATTTTAAAAAGATTATCACTGTATATCCATCATGCTATTATGTTAAGAAAACAATTGTTATCCTCCTAAATAAGAACCTTCTTTGTAACCGATGTATATGGGCCGGTGGCCTTACATACAAATAAACATATTTTGACTTTGACTACCCCACCGCCTGACTTCAGAAGTGTCAGTGTTCACTTGCATGTTCGAGCAATTAACAAATCGGTTTATTCAGGGTTCGAGACAAATATGTACCCTTTACAGTGACGCTGCAGTTCATGACCTACCGTGAATGGGAACTGTTACCCGAGGGTGTCGGGGTGTTATACCCTTTCTCCCTAGGCAATCTGTCTTTCCACTCTGGTTCTGGGGATGATGTAGCTAAGATGGATAGTCAAAGATAAGTCCGGTATGGTGTTCAAGTCCTGTTTATTTTGGAATGAATTCTCACACAAAGGTCCTCAGATATTGCCTAGCTTTCCTGGTCTACATGCAACACAGATTCACAAATCTCATGGAAGAACTTGTTGGTTTCTTGCACAACTCCTAAAGTTACAAGCTCATCTGAGCCATTCTCTCAATATACAGAGAAAACCTCTCAAGTCAACGGTGGGACCCAGAATCCCTTCTGTTCCCTCGGCATGTGAACAAAACTGTTTTCTGACAATTTTGGCTCCTCAACCCGAAATAATGTCCTACCTCATACAAAAATGACTCATATCCAATCTTAATAATTAGTTACTTTCATTAGTCCCTTTCGGAGACTTTATTTGGTACCATCAAATTCTTCCAGTCATAAAATGACATTGCTAGTTATCCTTAAGCCATCCATCAACCAAACGTTGACATATCTAACTAATATCTCAGACTGGTAGGCGCCAGAAGATACTTAATCAAATCATGTCACATCCTATGCGTGCCTCTTTATTGACAAACTGACCATCTGTATCCCAAATGTCCATCCACCCAATTGTGTAGAAACACCAGTTTGAACCTTTCACCCTCATTTATGTCAATTCAGAGAAATTGTTATTCCCCAAGAAAAGTGAATCAATAAGAGTTCGGTTAGCTTGGTCAATGCACTTTCCCAGTACATTCACCCTTCTTAACTTGACTTCAAATTTTCCTTAAATATTTATAAATTGTATATAATGTTTTCAACTCTAAATATCCTGGTTATACAACACACTCTTCAAGGTTAATATAGCACGTAGCAACACTAATAGCAGACATCCACAAGGTTTGGGGGGTGTTATATCCTTCTGCCTCAGCAAACTGGCCTGAAGACTCCTTGCCTACGAAGATGATGCAGCTCGAGATTGTATTCAATGATACATCTGCTCAACTGTTCAAGTCCTTTTATTTTTTAATATAACACTCATAACAGTTCTCAGATGTTCTCCTGTCTTTTCAGACTTTTACACAACACAGATTCACAGAATACCTCACAATACTTAACTCCGTTACTTCATCTAAAACCAATTTCTCAATATATAGAGAAGACAGCAGCAGGGCCCTGAATCGGGCACCACATTCCGGACAACTAACAACATAGTATTATGAAAGTTTTGGCTCCTCCCACTGAAATATTGTCCTATGTCAGACAAAAATGAGCCATATCCCATCTTCATAATGAAATTACTTCAAAGATTTATTTGGTACATTGTATCATCAAGATCTTGTGTCCCCCGCCGTGATGTTGCTGGAATTTTGCTTAAAGTGGTGTAAAACCATACTCACTCACTCACTCATCAAGAAAATACCTTTACTAGCGTGCCATGGTCATTGGTCGTATGAATAACCAAATATTACATCATGATCTTCCTAAAATAACTTGGTTAACTAGCTAAGGTCACTGGCCAAACAAATATCCAAACATTAACCAGGGCTCCAGATAAGGGCTGTATCGGCGTATGTACGGATAAAAAATATGCACGATACGGTAGGAAATAATTTGGAAAACGTAGCAGATACGCATGACGACAATGGTCCTAGAATCATTTACAGACGTATTTATTTGAAAAAGTATTGTTTTATTGTTTATTGACCTGTTTACACAAGACTAGCAATGTTGTGGTGCATATATGACACGAAACACAGGGTTACTGATACGCCATTAGATTCCATTCAGTACTCTTTAGATTTTCCAGTACTCCTATATTGAAAAAGTAAGGAGTACGTACTCCTGATGTTGAAAAATTATCTCCGAGCCCTGATTAACTGAGACTGTAGGCGCCATAAGACTCTTAATCAGACTCAATCAGATCAATGCAATCCAGCAACAAGTCCCTTTATTGATTACCCATCTCGAGTCAAAACTGACTACGAATTCCCAAGCTCCATTTCCTTATTGGTGTACTTTGCAAGGACCAGTCTTTTCACTTCCTTTATCTCCACTCATAGATATTGTCACTCACGAGAGAAATCAGTGAATAAGATCTGTCCCTCGAGTGAAGGAACCTTTACATTCACCTTTCTTAAATCAATTTCAGATTTTACCCTAAATGTTTATCAAATTTGTTGGTTGTTGTTTAATGCTACACTCAGCAATATTCCAGCTATATGGCGACAGTCGGTAAATAATCAAATATGAACAGACAATCAGGTGATTGATAGCATGTGTCACCAAAGTCGATATGTCACCCGATCCCGTTAGTCGCCTCTTATGACAAGCATGGGTTTTGGGGGGGGTTTTAATTGTTTTTTTTATTGTTTTTTTTTATTGGTTCCCAAGATTACAATATTGCAGATATACCAAGCCGTGATATGTACGGCTTAAAGTAATATGGCTACATGATATACAGGTGAGATATTTTTGCATTAATATATTTATAAACATGCATAATTCATTAAATAGATAATGTACAGATAATGTCAGGTAGAAGTCAATACAGTTTGAGTCATCTAAGTACTGGGGAGAAAAGGCTCCATTTATGATGGAAATTATTTATTTTATTATTTTTTGCTGATATATGTTTTTCCACAAAAAATATTTCTTTTAGAGTTTTAATATAGAAAGTTAGATTTGGAAGCATATTTTTAATACAGCATAAGTGAATATGTCTCTTTGCAGCAATGATGATGTGATTTAGTAATCTATTTTCATGTTGAGTACCAAACCAAATCATGTTTTTTGATAATTTCAATGGATGTGGATAATAATTGTTAAGCCAAATTTGTAGGTTTATCCAAAATGTTTGAGTCTCCTGACATTCCCAAAAGCATGGGTTACTGAAGATCAATTCTAACCCTGACCTTCACGGGTCTGAAAACAACAAACATCCTATACAGATTAGTCATGACACTGAGTCAAGACACTTAACAATAAAAACATTTGAGTCACATGTTCAAATTCCATTTAAAATAATAACAACAACAACAACAAACTAAACACTATTTTATTCTGTAATTTTCTAATTATTATTTTTTAGGCCCTTTTGACTTTTGATTTCAGTCCATTTGACTTTTGTCCTTTGCCCATTTGATTACAACCCGTGTAATTCCTTGCTTCCATTATTATTATGACTATTATAAATATAATTATTAAGACTATTAACTTCTTGGTGTGCTAATAACAAGTACTGTAACTAGTCACAGTGGCTTAAGCAAACATTCACCATGTTCAAAGACAATATTTCAGATCAACCAGATATCACAAGGAAAAACTAGTCATTTGAATCATTCTAAATACAGAATGTGGAACTGGCGTGTGTTGTCTTGAAGAAACTTGACAGGTCAAACTTACTTGCCAGCGTGGATGAGCCAGTGGAACTACGTCGGCCATTCCGTTCGTAATTCGACCCTCCCGCCGTAATTGTGGCTCCATTTCTTTCATGAAGAAATAGAAAGCGTTGTAGGCCTGCTTCTTCTTCGGCATTTTGCAGTGTATGTTTTCGTTTTGATTAAACTTTCAAAGTTGTGTGACACATTTAGCTTCCAGTAAAGAAACACACTGCTTTTCCTGGTTTCTCTGTAATGGTGGGTAGAGTGACCTCCCTTGGAAAACTGGGCTTCGTCTTTGAAGAGACGGTGTGAAATAGCGACGACCTACACTTCCTGGAAGGGGCCTTTTTAGCTGGGCTCCGTCTCTGTTCATCCCGAGAAAAACAATCGGAAACTATTGAGCCATTCGCATCTTACCCCCTTAACTTGAGTGTAACTGACAGGGAAATGCGCGCATTGTCAATTTGATGTTCAAATAACTGTTGTAATGTTGTGATGTAAGCAGAATATGAAATGAATAATTTCTTTCTGGACGTTTTATTCTGGGACAGCATTGACAAGGCATTTATATACATGACCTGGATTAACCAATCAGCATCGCGTAACACATTTTGGTGATGTTCAACTGTCGCTTATCTATCATCAAACGTTATAAAATATAACCATGATTGAAAGTAGTGATTAGGATGTAGTTGTGTGGCATTTCACCAAGAAGGTGAATTAACACGATATCAAGAAGACACCCCTCTTCATATAAGCGAAAAACGTTAACACATTTTGCCCTACTGTTAGTACCAGTTACAAACAAACGCAAAATCAAGTCACCAGAAAAAATCGGGAGTTTATTAATATGGTATAAACAAAACTAACAAACAACTACTAACAACAACATGCATAAAATACTTTACTAACAACAACATGCATAAAATATGTTACTAACAACAACATGCATAATATACTTTACTAACAACAACATGCATAAAATACTTAACTAACAACAACATGCATAAAATATTTAACTAACAACGTGCATGAAATACTTTACTAACAATAACATGCATAAAATACTTTACTAAAAACAAGCATAATGTTTTTTACTAACAACATGCATAAAATATTTTACTAACAACAACATGCATAAAATATTTTACTAGCAACAACATGCGTAAAGTATTTTGCTAACAACAACATGCATTAAATACTTAACTAACAACAACATGCATGAAATATTTTACTAACAACAACATGCATAAAATATATTGCTAACAACAACATGCATACACATTTTACTAACAACAACATGCATAAAATATTTTACTAACAACAACATGCATGAAATATTTTACTAACAACATGTATAAGATATTTTACTAGCAACAACATGCATAAAATATTTTACTAACAACAACATGCATTAAATACTTTACTAACAACATGTATAAGATATTTTACTAGCAACAACATGCATAAAATACTTAACTAACAACAACATGCATGAAATACTTAACTAACAACAACATGCATAAACATTTTACTAACAACAACATGCATAAATATTTTACTAACAAAAACATGCATAAAATATTTTACTAGCAACAACATGCGTAAAATATTTTGCTAACAACAACATGCATTAAATACTTAACTAACAACAACATACATGAAATATTTTACTAGCAACAACATGTGTAAAATATTTTGCTAACAACATGCATTAAATACTAAACTAACAACAACATGCATGAAATATTTTACTAACAACAACATGCATTAAATACTTAACTAACAACAACATGCATGAAATATTTTACTAGCAACAACATGCGTAAACTATTTTGCTAGCAACAACATGCATTAAATACTTAACTAACAACAACATGCATGAAATATTTTACTAATAGCAACATGCATAAATATTTTACTAACAACAACATGCATAAAATAGTTTACTATCAACAACATGCATGAAATATTTTACTAACAACTGCATTAAATACTTTACTAACAACATGCATAAAATATTTTACTAACAACAACATGCATAAAATAGTTTACTAACAACAACATGCATAAAATATTTTACTAACAACAACATGCATGAAATATTTTACTAAGAACATGCATAAATAGTTTGCTAACAATAACATGCATAAAATATTTTGCTAACAACAACATGCATACAATATTTTGCTAACAACAGCATGCATAAAATTGTTTACTCACAACAACATGCATAAAATATTTTACTAGCAACAACATGCATGAAATATTTTACTAACAACAACATGCCTAAACTATTTTACCAGCTACAACATGCATAAAATACTTTACTAACAACAACATGCATAAAATATTCGTACAGGACCATTCTCAAAAGTTATGAGAGACAAGTTGTTATAAAATAATGCCCAAGCAGTAAAGTACCATAAAACATATATATTATCCATATAAAAAATGCTTTCTGCGATTGAGTATTAAATAGTAGATTTAAGCAAATAAAAAACAGACATTAGCATCAATAAACATAAAACAAAACTTCTCAATATCAGGCATATTAAAAAACCCATCTAGATTTAAAAATGTATTCATTAAAATACGTCATATAATACGCAGTGAAACAAAACATGAACCTCATCTTCTACACAGTCTTTATAATAAAAACAATTTCTATTTTGTACAGGGATGCCTTCATGTCGTCCCGTTTCAGGTTTAATTGGGGCCACATCACGCCTAAACTTGGCAAAAGCCGACCTGTAACCTCTTGGCAGGTTTCTTAAAATACAGTCTTCAGTTCTATAATCTTTTTTGTTGTTTTTTTACTTTCGTAAAAAAGTCAACATACAGTCCACTATTTCCAGACATTTCCTGGAATTTTGATAATGGTCTTCCTAAATGTACAGAGAAGATAAATAACCAAATAGATAACATCGATCTTCAGGTAAAAAAGCTTAAAGCTGTTCTATACTCTTGTTTAGCAACTGGTGACTTCATAATGTGTGTTGTCTGGAGAACAATGCAGTTGACAATAGCCGGTTTGGTAGTGTTGATCTGGGCGAGGTCTGTCAATACTTTAGGACTGACGTCGTATTGTTGACGTTCATCAGCTGATGGAGATAAGGATTCACGTGAGCAAATTCAATGATACGCTAACTAGTATCAATTCATTAACTCTCTGCTTGAAGGAAAACGTAGTTATACGACATGCTGAAATTGGGAAAATAACGGATGTTGGCGTAGTGAGGTCACACAGTTCTGTCAATATGTATGTACGATTTCAAGGTTTCCCACGGAAATTCTGTTTTAATGCATGCATGTAACTCGTCTGCCAACGTCTATATCAACATATGTGCGTGTATTGAACAGCTGATAGTGACTGATGTAACTTTACAATATAATTCCCCTGTGAGGTACGACTTATGCAGAGATCGGTTGATATTGGCGGCATACATTGTGTTGTGTAGAACTAACTGGGAATGACCAACGATCCACCCCACTTGCAAAGATCGATGCTCATAGTCGCATGACCATGTTTTGTGTAATATTTGTGTGTATATCATTAAATATTACTCAAACCGAGGCCTGCATATATTTATGAACGTTATAGTTAAAGCAAAATGTTCATAACAAAATTGACGTACAAAAGAAAGTACACACACGGTGCTTTTGGATTACTTTCCAAAAGGCGACGAAAATGTTTTGAAAAGAGTTTTTACAGTGACATATAAGTCACAGACTTTCCTAATATGTTGCCAAACCACCACAAATATCGTGCCCAGTTGCGAAGTTGCCAGTCAAAATCACAACACATTTCAAATAATCCCAAAATACCAGGTGTGTACTTTTTGTATGTCAGTTTAAATATTATCTGTGAATGTTTTTAAGTTGTCCATAAAAGTAGGCACTTAACGTGTTGTATTTGATGCAATACGTTTGTGTGGGAAAAGTTCTTCATCAAATATTCCTTTGTGATAAAGTTGCAAATAAGTTTAGACTAAATCTTCCCAGCGACCACTAGAACTTAGATGTTCGCACTAAAGTACTTGTCCACCTAATTGAACTTTTGTGACTTTGTTTACAGCCTTTACGGTTGCAGATATAAAATTAATTAAATGTCCTTATATTTCCAGTATTATTATTAAACATTCATGTCCGTATATGGTCTTGAAAAGTCTAGTAATGATTTATATGATAGAGTGGGGATATATTTGAAATCAAAAGGCACGAGGGTGAGATTATCTATATCAGTGAAATTCAGAAGTATATTTTATACCATGTTGGATATCAGTTGAAAAAAGGAAGTTCTTTCTAAACCGGCACGCCTCTCTATACCAAACATTTTAGCCGGTCCCAACGAATGCCGGTTTAGAGGGCTTCCACTGTATACTACACATCACAAGTTAAGACTCACTAGTGCAAATGTAGCTACGTACTTCAGTCAACTGTTCTACACTTGATTTTGCTAAATATTCCACAATGTTTAAAGGTACTGTTTGGACACATGAACTGATGTATTGTAAAACAAATTTGTGATGTTGAAACAAATATTTTCATGAGTGCACTAATCATGAAACTCAGTGACAATTTTCGAATTCTGAACAAAACTTTACATCAAAACGCAGCTGTTCACATGCACGATATTTGCAAATGTATTTCAGAAACTTGATGCATGATCCTCTTGCACCATCTTCGCAAGGTTTGCAGATGGTTCCCTAAGTTAGTGGAGAAATTCATCTTCGATATAACCGTATATATATACATAAAATATAATGATTGCATTAAATTGAGTCTAAACTATTGATGGGTAGTATTTATCAGAAAACCAGCTGCAGCAGTAAATGTACTTCCTCATCCCACATTCTTTGGATATCCATATGTATGAAAATCCAGTTTAAAAAATGACACATCAACATGCCTGACCACGAATTGAGTCCCCAATGCAACTTCGTCCAAATGGTGTATTTACACATGGAAATGTCATTACTTTTGTTTTTTGTAGGTCGACACATTCCTGGTCATCGTATCTCTAATTGCGTAAACGATGCTCACGGTTTTGATCACTGGATTATCTGGTCCAGACACGATTATTTACAGACCGCCGTCATACAGCTGGAATATTGCTGAGTGCAAATAAACTAAACTCACTCACTCACTACACACTCCAAGCATATACGACATAACACACCTGCCGGGATACTCGACGGTGAGAAGACTGATGTAAGGTGGGTATTTCTGCAACATTTCAAAC